AACGATCGAAGAATGAATATATATATGCGCTATTCGCACAACGAACGAATAGTTATCTTTATAATAATAATATATAATAAAATAGTTATCTTTATAATAAAGTTTCATAAATTAATCGATAGACTCGTGGAACATTTTTGTGGAAATTTGTATCGATTTTAATTTTATATCATCTTTCTAATTTTTCGAATATGATAAATGAAATTTTGAAACTCGACCACGATCGAGATTTACAAAATGTTACGTAAAAGATCCTATGGACGTTTTTATCCCATCATAATCTATAGCTATTCATAAATTCAATTAATACATTTTATTCGCGAAAGAGATTTTAATTAGTTTATTAGAATAGACAAATAAAATTATTTTATTAACAGAGAGAATGAGAAACACGTAAAAAGAAAAAGAAAATGGAGAATTCACCGTAACGAAAAAAATTTTACTTGCAAGGAAAAACGATTAAAAAAATAAGATCCAAAGAATATTGGATCCTCGGAAATTTGTGCAAGTTTCGTTCGATCGAACCAGGTTCGTTTCTTATTCAAGAGTGTCGTTGTTTAGGAACGAGCATTACTCGAAAGAATTGTGTTCGCGCGGGTGCATGGGTCCGCGAAGATTCTTTAATTTCGAATTCTTCTCCCAAGAACTGGCAGAGCGAGACTCGACGATTGCTGCGGGTCGCTCGACTTTTAGGCAAATGAAAACTTTCTCCCTAAGAGGAAGAAGAGGAAAGATTTCAGAAAGAAGAAGAGGACGGGACGCACGGTTAAGAAATGCTTTCACGGTGGCTCGACACCTTGAAGAACGGTCCTCGCCTCGAACGGATGAATTTTAGGATGCATCGTTTCAGCATAATCGACCGTTCAACCGATACTTCCGCCGGAACGATCACCTCCTCCTCGATGCACTCGATGCCCTCTCTGACCGAGTACTCGCTCTCGTTTATAAATTACGAACGCGTGGGCGTGATCCCTTCTTCTTCTTCTTGCTTGCTTGCGCATTTAGGCTACTTTTTTCGCGTGAAAAGGTTCTAAGAGCAAATGTTTCATTAACCTCGTTTTGCACGATGATTAACATCGTTCGCCGTTATGAAATATTTTTTCAAAGAGTTTCCAGACCCAAGAGAACGAGGGGATAGAAAATTCAAACGCTCGCATTCGAAGTGAATAATAATCGCAGTGACGGAGAAAATTTAATAAATGATCGAATTTAAGAATTCTACGTATCTTGTTTAAAGCGTTGAATAATTGTAATTATTGGGTTGTTCGTTTTTTCTTCATGACAATGAAACACCAAATCGTTTCATGTATAATGTTTCACGAACAATCGAATCCGACAAATTTAATCTCGTAGCAATTTCTCGATTCGTCGGTTTGCTTCGATCAGTGCCTTCATTTTGTCTTCATCAGCTTCAAGAACGTGGTGCATCTTTAATGTTCTAAAATTTTGAAAATCAGTTTTGATACTGGCATACACCTTCTCCATAAACTTTGCACAACTTTTTTCTTGCCTGAAACGGCATTCTTACCTTTTCGATAATAAAATATGCCAAAAATGCTCCTTTTGATCTTGCACTTTTGTCATCACGCACGAAAAAACACAACTGCGCAGAATCAAACGAATTTTTCTTACAAAACCAACGAATTTTCAACTCTCAAAATATATAATAATAACACGGTTTAGAATGAAGTTGGCTGGATAAACCGTGTTCGACACGTAGCGACACTCGTGTGAAAAAACGAAATTACTTTCCGAACGATCCAATGATTGTGAGGTTATATAAAGAGTGATCAATTATGATTGTAAGTGTTATTAACTTAAAAGATCTTTTTTCTCGCGTAATCGATTTCGATCGCACACAGATTAGAAAGGATCGTCTTCATCCAAGAAAAATTCGAATTCGAGTTCGGTTTCCAACGGAATATCTTCCTCGTCCAGAGTAGATTTTACGTGATCACCGTGGAGAATACGTCAAGCATACTTCTCGGGCATTCTGGATAAAGGGCGTGGCAGTTTTCCGCCGACATCTGCTCGCCCAAACGCTCTGCCGCGCTGTACTCTCGATCCCCGTACTCGTCGTACCGCTCCTCGGTGCTCGAAGGCCTGAAATTCCAAAGCGCGAGTACGCGTCTCGAACCGTGAAAAATTACAATCGTCGTCGTCGCGAGAGATCCGCGGGACGAGGAAACGGTCTGGAAAAGAATTCGGTGAGTCAGGAGAAGGAAGGATGAAGGAAGAGAGAGAAAGAGAGAGAGAGAGAGAGTGGCACTCCGGGATCGATAACGCCAACAGATATGCAGAAGGAGCTTCCAAGTTATTTACCAGCTTCCCTGGCGTTAATCGTCGTGTAGACCATCGCTTAATCCCTCGCCATTCGCGCTATTATATTATTAATTCACCAGTAGGGGCGTAACTTCGTACTCTGGTAAGTTAATCGAGCATTTTTTTTTTGTACAAAAATATTAGAATTGAAATTTTTAATCCGTCCCCATTTTTTAGTTTACAATTCTTTTCGAGATTTTAATTTTATTTTCGAGTTTCAAGCGATGCGTCTCGAACAAAAATTGATTTTTATTTTTTTTTTTTTTTTT